AAGGGGCCTAGGGTTTGCTTTCTGTACTTTGGATGATGTAAATCTGACTCTCCTAAGAAACTGTTTTTTGTTTCCCCAGCCAGCTGCGCCCTCCTCACCCACGTCCATTTCTCCTTCTTGTCATTTATCCACCCCTTCTTTTCTTTTCAAGTCCTTCTCAGAATCCTGACAGTTACATCCCTCCTTGGCTAAGACATTCGCTAGCAGGTGGGGCTTTCTTCTTCCTCCATGGACCACAGCTGCCCATGACCAATAACATCAAGTCCCATATCTGTTGTCTTTCCAAGGCCTCTAGGTCAAGGTTGGCTAGTGCAAAGGGAGGAAAATACTTTCTGGTCACCTGTCTTCAGCTTTAAGTTCTGGAATATTAAAAATAATCAGCACAGGCTTTTTCTACAGCCTGTTTTTGGACCCACTTGGGAATTTGGGTGGGGTTCAAAGAAACCAAATGTCTGGCCTATCCCAGGGGATATTAGTCACCCACATGATGTTTCAGGATATAAAAACATATTAGACAAGTTCATACATGGGAGTAACTGTCAGACTGGCCACTCCTTGTTGAAGCTTGAGGTTTTGAAAAATTCTCATCTACCTTCTCAAGAGTTTTTTTGCTTGCTTGTTCTAAGACTAAAAAGGCCATTGGAGAAGGATTCTGGGAACGTTTTGAATGTAATTTCTTTATTAAGGTGTAATAACAATTGAGAAAAGAGCAAGGGGAGTGCAAGAAAAAGGTAGGCATGACAAATATAGGTATAGACCACAGACATCATCTCTGTATTAACTTGTGCACCATCTGCAGCTGGTTTGGCCTCTGGTCTTTATCAGGAGAGACAAGAAGAATTCTAGAGAAAGACGAGCCTGGAACCAAAGGGGCCTTGGGGCTTTGGTATCTACAAAAGGAGTTGCATTAGTATAATCTTAAGTTCTGAAAAGTTGGGCTTCTTCACAGAGTAAATTACTGGACTTATTAGAGGCTATGAAGCAAATCGCTTACCCCAAAGGCCCTGGAAAAGTTGACAGGCTCTTAGTCACCAAATGCCAGAAGACTCAAGCAAGAAAGTCCTTGAGTCCTGATGGGACTAGATTCAGCCAATTAAAAAAAAGTTCTGTGTATAGAGACTGAAGAAATGTAAAAGAAAAGATCCCAAATAATTGTGCAGATTGGACAAGAAGACATTCTATAACAAAAAGGGGCTTTTATTTAAAAAAGAGAAAAAAGCTTATCTTCTCCCAAGTCAGCATTGAGAGGTGATTCCGGCAGCTAATGCTCCCCTTCCTCTGGAGTTGTACCATCCTTTTTGGAAGCCATTAGCCACACATAGCTACTGAGCATTCCAAACTGGTGTAACACACATAATATACACACTGGATTTCAAAGACTTACCATGTAAAAAAGAACGTAAACTGTCTCATCAATAATTTTTTCAAGTGGATTTATTAAAGTAATAATATTTTAGAAATATTGGGCTAAAAGGATGCTAAGATTAATTTCACCCCTTAACTTATTTTAGCATGGCTACCAGATAATGTAAAAATAACTTATGTGGCTTACCTTATATTCTTATGGAACAGCATTGCTTTAGAGTTCTTTGCTAATAATCACTCACTACCATAGTCCTTCTCAAGAGGAATGCTTCTCATTTGTGAACATCTACACAAGCATGTGTAGTATGGGTCTACAGCATGGCTAGAATGCCTGAAAGTCTATTTACCGAAGGTCAGGGTTATGCCACTAGAGCAGAAGCACAGAGGATCTTGTTGATGAAAGCAATGGATTTTAGCCTTTCTGGAGCTGCTTTAATTATGACCCAGTTCCCCTCGCCTGCAGGGTTACAGTAATAGTAGATACCGTATCTAATGGTAGCATTGGGTTCAATCATTTACAACACCTAGAACAATGTCCATAGTAGACATTTTATAAGCATTCACTATTATACTTTTCTCAGCAAAAATGAAACTCTATGTATGGGTTTCCCTGACACTAATAGAATCCCCCATGAGTGTTTTTGCCCCAGTTTTTAAATGTAGGGAATGCTGGTCCCTGCTTTGCCTGTCTATAAGCTGTCAGGGCCTGCAATTGGTTGGATCTGGTACTTGAACCAATGCTGGAGTGTAGATGCTTTTTCTAGGGAGTAAGGTTTGGACACAGTCTGTGGTTCCCCATGCCACTCACTGGGTCCTGGGATGGATCTTATCTCTGGAGCACCTACTGAAGCATTTGATGTAGTCTCCTTGTCTGACTTCCCTCGTGTCCTGTCTGGGATCCTTGTCCTTTTTTGTTCTGGACATCTCAGGTCATGGTGTTTGTCATGCTTGGGGTCCCCCTTTAGCTGAAATGCACCCCCACAACCACGTGGCCCCTGCTCAATAAATGTGGCCATATCCAATGGCAATTATTTAAAAATGATACAGAAATTTGGTTTTTAGCTAGCTGCTAGCAACTAGGTACTGTGGATCTCAACCGTTCCGCTACTATTAAGATCAGATCAGTGGCTCTGAATGAGAGAGAAACTTTGTAATGACCTGGGTGCATCTTCAAAGGACACATTCCTGGGACCCATTCTTAGAAATCCTGATGTCATGGGTCTGGGGTGCTGCCTTGGCATCTGTACTTTTAAAACGATCCCAAAGGCTGGCTGTGGTGCCTCATATGTGTAATTTCAGCACTTTGGGAGGTCAAGGTGGGAGAATCACTTGAGCCCAGGAGTTCAAGATTAGCCTGAGCAACATGATGAAACCCTGTCTCTGCTGAAAATACAAAAAATTAGCTGGGTGTGATAGTGCATCTCTCTAGTCCCAGCTATCCAGGAGGCTGAGGCAGGAGGATCACTTGAGCCTGGGAGGCAAAGGTTGCAGTGAGCTGAGATAGCATCCCTGCATTCCAGCCTCTGTGATGGATGAGACCATGTCTCAACAACAACAACAAAAATCTCCCAATATGACCCAGGTGAATGCACTTGATTAAGAATTACAAGTGTGACAACAATGGGAATACATATTTTCTATCATTTTGGGTGTTAAGTAATTTTTGATGTGAAGATTAGATGGCTAATATTTTAGTTCAAGCTTCATAGCATACCCATTTGTAGATTTTATCAATTAGCATAGTCCCTGGCACATGGCAAGTATACCTAAAAGATTGCTGAATTGATGACTGTCTTAGTCCATTTGCACTGCTCTAACAAAATGTCTGAGACTGGGCAATTTGTAAAGAACAGAAATTGATTTCTCACAGTTCTGGAGACTGAGAAGTCCAAGGTCAGAACGGAGGTGGATTCGGTTTCTGGTGAGGGCCTTCTTGCTGAGTCCTCCTGTGGTAGAAGAGCTGAAGAGCAAAAGGTGGCCTAAGCTTGTTCCCTTCAGCCCTTTATAAGGCACTAAGCATTCATGAGCCCTCATTGAAGTGACATCATTGTCTGGGGTAAATACCCGGGGTTCATTGTCTCTCCCCCAAGATTAACGACATGGGGACACACACACACACACATGGAGTGGGTTAAAGAGTGGAAAATTTAATAGGCAGAAGGAAGGAGAGAGGAGAGCAGTTCTCTTTCTCTCTTGCAGGAGAGAGATGATCGAAAGGGAAAAGCGGCAAACAACAGCAGATTTTATAGGCAGGCTTGAGGAGGTAGTGTCTGATTTACGTAGGGCCCACAGATTGCTTCAACCAGATGTGATGTTTATATATCGAGCAGGGAAGGCTGGTCATCCCTACCCTAATCTTATTATTATGCAAATGGATTTTCCACTTGGCCAGTGCCATCTTCTCTGCTCCTTACCATACACCATTTTGATCATGCCTAGTCCCAGGTAGCATTTTTTTCCTATGGGCACAACTGCTGACATTTGCCTGTGCAAGCTTCCAGCTTGCTTGTTTATGTCTGCAGCTCAATTTTACAGGCTGCTCTTTGTCAGAAAAGAAAATGATTTTGGGGCTGCTTTCCATTAAAATGAAAACCTTACTGAAGACTTCCTTACCCTCACTATCTGCCTAAATAATTTCTTTTTAACTCCTGTATCATCATGACTTAATCACTTTCCAAGGAGGTCCCATCTCTTAACAACACCACATGGGGATTACATTTCCATGCAGGAATTTTGAGGCACATTCAGACTATAGCAATAATTGTGAATATTGAGTGCATATCTGTAGAGAAAATATCTTTGAAATGTATTTTATAAAGTTTTTTCATACCTTTTTAAAATTTATTTTTAATTTTTATAGATTTAGTGGGTATAATGGCAGATTTCTTACATTTCTCCTGCCCTCCTGCCTTTTGGAGTCTCCAGTGTCTATTATTCCACTCTGCATGTCCATGCGTACCCATCGTGTAACTGCCACTTACCAGTGAAAACATGCAGTATTTTCCTTCCATTTCTCAGTTATTTCACTTAGGACAGTGACCTCCAATCCCATCTATGTTGCTGCAAAGTACATGGTTTCTTTCTTTTTTATGGCTGAATAGTATTCCATAGTATATATATATATATACCACATTACAAAATTATTTTAAAGTTCCAGGATACATGTGCAGGATGTGCAGGTTTGTTACACAGGCAAATGTGTGCCATGGTGGTTCGCTACATCTGTTAACCCATCACCTAGGTATTAAGCCCCACACACGTTAGCTGTCTATCCTGATGCTCTCTCTCCCCCAACCCCTGATAGGCCCCAGTGTATGTTTTTCCCCTCCCTGTGTCCATGTGTTCTCATTGTTCAGCTTTCATTTATAAGTCAGAACATGTTTATATATCATATTTTAAAGATTCAGTCCTCCATTGATGGATACTTAGATTATTCCATATCTTTACTATTATGAATAGTGCTGTGATAAACATACAAGTGCAGAATCTTTTTGATATAATGATTTTTCCCTCTTTGGGTATATACCCAGGATTGGGATTGCTGGGTAGAATAGTGGTTCTATTTTCGTTCTTTGAGAAGTCTCCATACTGTTTTTCTTTTTTAATTTTTTTTTAACTTTTTAAAATTATTATTTTTTTCTATGAAGCGCTCCACGAATTTGCATGTCATCCTTTTTCAGGGGCCATGTGACTCTTCTCTGTATCGTTCCAGTTTTAGTATATGTGCTGCCGAAGTGGGCACCATACTGTTTTTCATAAAGGTGGTACTAATTTACATTCCCACAAAGAGAGTAAAAGTTCTTTTTTCTCTGCATCTTTACCGACATCTGTTGTTTTTTCAACTTTTTAATGATAGTCATTCTGACTGGCATAATACAATATCTCCTTGTGGTTGTAATTTGTGTTTTCTGATGATTAGTGAGTTGAACATTATTGCATGTTTGTCGGCTGCTTATATGCCTTCTTTTGAAAACTGTTCATGTCTTCTGCCCACTTTTTAATGGTGCGATTTGTTTTATCTTGTTGAGTTGTTTGAGTTCCTTATAGATTCTGGATGTTAGCCCTTTGTTGTATGCATAGTTTGCAAATATCTTTTCCCATTTTGTAGATCGTCTGTTTATTCTGTTGATAGCTTCTTTTGCTGTGCAGAAGCTTTTTAGTTTAAGTCTCATTTGTCTATTTTTGTTTTTGTCATGTTTGTTTTTGAGGACTTAGTCATAAATTCTTTGCTTAGAGCCAATGTCCAGAAGAGTTTTTCCTAAGGTTTTGTCTAGGAATTTTAGTTTTGGGTCTTAAATTCTTCTTGAGTTAATTTTTTTCTATGGTGAGAGGTATGGGTCCAGTTTCATTATTCTGTATATGGCAATCCAATTTTCCCAGCACCATTTATTGGATAGTGTTCTTTTACCAGTGTATGTTTTTGTTGACTGTGTCGGAGATCAGTTAGTTATAGGTATGTGGCTTTATTTCTGAGCTCTCTATTCTGTTCCGTCAATAGACGTGTCTATTTTTATACTAGTACCATGCTGTTTTGGTTACCATAGCCTTGTAGTATAATTTAAAATCAGGTAATTTGATGCCTCTAGCTTTATTCTTTTTTCTTAGGATTGCTTAGGAGCTATTTGAGTTCTTTTTTGGTTCCATATGAATTTGAGGATTCTTTTTTCTAATTCTGTGAAAAATGATGTTAGTAATTCAATAGGGTTGCATTGACTCTGTAGATTGCTTTGGGCAGTATGGTCACTTTAACAATGATTTCAAGATATCTTTAGCTTTAAAAATGTATTAAGCATGGTAACTATAGTTAATAATAATGTATTGTATTTTTTCAAAATTGATAAGAGAGGCAATTTTAAATGTTCCCACCTTAGAAAAATGCTAAGCAGATGAGGTGATGGATATGCTAATTAGTTTGATTTACTCATTTCATAATGTATGCATATATCAAAACATTGCATTGTACTCCATGAATATGTGTATTATTTGTCAATTAAAAATAAAAATTTAAATATGTATTGAATGTTTCCATCAAATTTCATATGTCTTAAATAAATGGAACTATGCCTCTGAAGAGTCTGGCAGGTGGGCCCTTGGAGGAGGCCGGCTTCAGAGTTGTCTCCTCAAAGAAGACTTGGAAGGGGTAGTTCATTTGTTTTTGAACACAGAAAGGATGCAGCTGTAGGAGGGGCCTTTATCAACACCCAGTCCCACTCTGCAGCAGTTAATTGCCACTTCCTGTCTAGAGAATGCAGCACAATAGACTGAGCCCACCTGCTGTTTGCATCCCCCACGCCACCCCCATGGATGGTTTAAGGTGGTGGAGGTCTAACAAGCAAGACTGACAGCGAGTCTGCCAGTGGGAGACTGGCCCATGGGTCTCTGTTAGCTCCAGGAATGGTTTCCACAGGTCAGGCTGACCCTGTGTGGCTGCTCTACAAAGGACCACACCTGGGCCTGCAAATACAGCTGCTGGCATCTTTACACGGCTCAGCTCCCTGACCTGGAGACCTCTAACCACAATATTCTTTGGTGGTTAAGTCTGATGTTTCTGTTATGGGAAAGGGTTCCCGATCCAGACCCCAATAGAGCATTCTTGAATTTCATGCGAAAAAGAATTCAGGGCAAGTTAGCAGTGCAAAGTGAAAGCAAATTTATTAAGAAAGTAAAGGAATAAAAGAATGGCTAGTCTATAGACAGAGCAGCTCTGAGGGCTGCTGTTTGTCCATTTTTATGGTTATTTCTTGATGATATGCTAAACAAGGGGTGGATTATTCATGCCTCCCCCATTTAGACCACATAGGGTAACTTCCTGACGTTGCCATGGCATTTGCAAACTGTCAGGGTGCTGGTGGGAGTTTAGTAGTGAGGACGACCAGAGGTCCCTCTCATCGCCATTTTGGTTTTGGTGGCTTTTGGCCAGCTCCTTTACTGCAGCCTGTTTTATCAGCAAGGTCTTTATGACCTGCATTTTGTGCTGACCTCCTGTCTCATCCTGTGACTTAGAACGCCTTAACCGTCTGGCAATGCAGCCCAGTAGGTTTCAGCCTCGTTTTACCCAGCTCCTATTTAAGATAATGTTGTTCTGGTTCACATGCCTCTGACATTTCCACAGACTGCTTTGTGTAGACTTATAAAGAAGAAACAGCCCACAAACCTATTTAAAAACAGTTGAACTGATGTGAATTCTTAAAATGACTGAAAAATAACCTTTATCAGGTAGGAGCCCTTGTCCAAAGCAGTGCTTTCAAGGGCCTCATGGGAAATCCACACCCACATGGTTAAGCTAGTTGTGTCTCTTTACCCACATTAGATGGTAATTTTAATTTGTTTTTAACTTAGCAAGAATTTGTTCAGTGATGTTTCACTTTCACCATGTCAGAGAAGGAAGATGGGTCACATACTCAAATTGTCCTTCCCTTTCCCTCTTTCATAAAAGTCCCGTTGTCCCCTTCCCTTTCTCCCCTGATCAGTCATGTCCTCTCTCCCTCCCAAGCCTTCGGGAGTCTTTGTTATCTGCAGAGAAAGGAGGAGTTCAAATTAGTTTGACAGGCCAGCAGAGGCAGAAAGAGAAACAGGGTGGGCAGGGTTTCCACAACTGGCTTTGCACGTGCCTGAGCTGCACCTTGCACCAGCAATTGCCGACCCATGCCTCACTGCCAATGACAGCGGGTCAGCACAAAATAATCCAGGAACCACAGGCTGCCCCGGGGGCTGCTGCTGCCTCTACTCAACTGAACATTATTCTCTGCTGGGAGGGGAGGGTCTGCAAACATGGATGAAAACATCGTGTCTCAAATTCAGAATTTGAGAAGGAGCAAGAAAGGAAGTCATCACAGACACAGGAATACTGAGAACCTGAATGAACTTACGTAGCGGATGTTGGAGTATTCTTCTCTTGGTGCTGGCATTCCCAGTGTTAGAAGAGACCCTATTCAGTCAGCATGCATTTATCAGGTACTAGCTGTGTGTCAGGCTTCTGTGCTTGCTGCTGAGGTGCTGTGACAGTCCTGCTTTCACAGAGTTCATAGTTGAGAGCAGTAGTCTCCAAACATGAGTCATTTTATATCTCTATGGGAAAACCTTGAGCTGAACTACTGTTTTCTATGTATGTAAGTTATGTAATATATTGGTATAGTATGCACATCAAGTTAAATGATTTGTGTACATTACAAAATGGACATACAAAATAAATTAATCCAGATGACATACAAATGTATATACCTACGTAGGATTTCCAATATTTTCTTTTTCTTTTTTTGAGACAGAGTTTCACTCTTGTTGCCCAGGCTGGAGTGCAATGGTGCCACTCGGCCTGCTGAAACCTCTGATTCCTGGGTTCTAGCGATTCTCCTGCCTCAGCCTCCTGAGCAGCTGGAATGATAGGCATGTACCACCATGCCCGACTAATTTTGTATTTTTAGTAGAGACAGGGTTTCTCCATGTTGGTCAGGCTGCTCTTGAACTCCTGACCTCAGATGATCAGCCTGCCTCAGCCTCCCAAAGTGCTGGGATTACAGGCATGAGCCACAGCACCTGGCTGAATTTCTAATATTTTCTTCTCACCCTCCAATGGCTTATTTTGCATAAGTTCTGGGATGCAGGCACCCACTGTAGAGATGACAGATGGGATTAAGAGTGTGATCTAGTGTGAGATTTTCTGGGTTCCGATGTTGGTTCCAGCCCATACTTTTTGTGTGACCTAGGATTTGTTTCTTAAGTTCTCAGAGTCTAAGTTTCTCCACGTGTAAAATGGGTTTTATGATAATACTTTCCTCAGGTTTTAGCGAAGATGGAATGAGGTGAGCCATGTAAAGTGCTTAGAAGTCTTCCTGGGGTTTGAAAACAGTGTGCTACATGTTATTTATTATTTTGATTATTACAGTCTCTTTGGAGAGAAAAACATTAAGTGACTAAGTGTTTAATTTCAACTGTGATGAGGACCATGCAGGACCAGTCTAGGATGCCAGGAGGGTGTATTGGGAAGACTTAACCTAGTCAGTTTTGAGCTGTGTTTTGAGTTCAGGAGGGAGCCAGGGTTAGAGCAGGGGCATATCATTCCCAGCCAAGAAATAGCACCTGCAAAGGCTGAGGCAGGAGAGCACTTAACTTCTTGGAGGAGGACATGAAGGCCCAGTGAGAAGGGAAGAACACTGCCAGGTCCAGCAGGAGAAGCAGGCTGACTGAGACCATGCAGGGCTTTGTGGGCATTGTATCCATCAAGGATCTGTTACCATAACCAAAACCCATTTGCAGTTGTTTCAGCAGGAAAAGGAGTCTCTTAGAGGATATGAAGATACTTTCAAAAGCACCAGAGGGCCAGAAAGTCAGGCTTGTAGGCCAGGAGGTCAGAACAAGGCCCAAACCAACCACACCGTGGGAGTGAATCAGAAAGGGTCTCTGCAGCTGCCCCGAAGTCTGGAACCTCACAGCACAGCTCATGCCACTGTTGCCCCTAGGAGCTGGACACCACCACTGCCACCCTTTCTAGGAAATGGATTCTGCACCATTGGCTTGCTCATGAGCTCAATTCCAAATGAAGCTGTTTGTGAGAATATCTGACTGACAGAGCTTGGGTCACATGGTGACATCAAGCTGCAAGGGAATCAGGGAAAGTCAGTTTTCTGGCTTCAGCTGTGGGGATGTAAGAACCCCTAAGGTGGGAAATTCCCCAAATATGGGAATGATGTCAAGGATTTGGGGCTTAACTGCTTTCACATCATCACATGGTCTGCTGTGGTCAGG